ATAGGAGGATAACGCGTTGCGAGCGAGAACACTAAGTGGAAATGCATACGTCATATAATATGGGAAAGATATTCACTACGTGCGCTCCAGATTAACTAGAACAAAATATTAGAGAAGGTGCGTCATATTGTCACGACTCCTTTTTTATGGATCGAAAGAATTATTTATTCGCGCAACCTTTCTTTATGAAATAAAAGTTCAATTAAAACATAACAATGTTATTCATCAATAAATCATCAGTACTTAAAATTAAAGAAGGGCCTTATCAAAACATCCTTTGTGAGTTGCACGTCACGATGCTTTCACCAAAACTAAGAGGTAATTTTACTTTAGATACCTTTCAGTACAGGGTACAGTAATCAGTGTCAAATTGAAGACTGGGTTTACGTGAAAATTGGCGCGAACAAATTGCATGTAAAAACATCTACTCTGGCCGATCTAATTCGTTTAAAACGTAAATGATTTTGTGGGTTCTCAAATTGGTTTAGAATAGTTAAAAGTATTAGCTGAGTGGTGAAACAATTTACATTCCGAAAATTAACCGAAAAAGAACTCAAATTAATTATTGAAAATACAATAAATTTATTAAACTGATTATTGTAGCCTAATTTAAATGATCTTAATTAATTTTTAAATTCAACCATGTTATGACCTGTAACATGTTTAATAGTATATTCTGTACAAATATTAATGCTAATGGATATGTAATAACTACATGAGTTTGATTTTGCATTAAAATAATCTGATTTAATAAAAGTAACTAGATTTTAGTAATATTTTAGTTCAACGGTATCGGCAGTATCGGCACCAGAGTTTAGTGAATTTTAGTGGTATCTTCTTTAGATAGGTATACAGCTAATGGGAAAATGCGCCAAACACATACTTTGATTACTATACGAGGCAAGAGGGAGGTCCGACACGCCCAACATAGGGCGCGGTCATTTCGAACCCTGTGACACAGTTTACAGCTAAAGAATCAGATCGCTCACTCTGCGTCGGCACTTCTGATTTCAATGTTTCAGTTTATACACTGTGCAAATCGGATAATACAATATATGACAACCGCCTATAATAAAACAGCAGTCTTCTGCGTATCCTGAATTTGTATCCCTGGAGTGAATGTTATTTTGGAACTTTCAACTGGTCCGAGTGAGCTAACTGATTCTTTAGCAATAAACTGTGACATCAAAAATAATATTCACTGACACTGACAGCAGCAAGCAAAATATCAAGTGCGTTTTAATCATCCGCTTCTGCTTCCGGAATTGTCGGTTTAGTCGTTTTAACCTGTCAGATTAAAACAAGAAAACCGACAATTCCGAAGCAGAAGCGGATGATTAAATCGCACCTATTAAAAATATTGCGCCAAGATGTAGGCAACACGTAATAAGGGTTCAAAATGGCGGAGTTTTCTATCTCCTTTTAAAAGGCACTCAGAAATCTGCGCAGTGCGACCATCACATACTTTGATTTTCTCTTACTATACGGAGAATGGTCGCACTGGGCAGCTTTCTGAGTGCCTTTTAAAAGGAGAGAAAACTCCGCCATTTTAATCCCTTATTACGTGTTTTAGGTTTTAGGTATGTCAAAGTATTACTAAATAAATCCAATTAATCCTTATTGTACTAAAATTAATTTTATCCTTTAACAGTCTGTGTACATAACAAGAGAGCTGACATTTTATGTTGAAAAGGGTGGTTTGAGTTGAATGGTAAAGTGGACAGTTTGTGTAAGTTTCCTAGCTGTATATTGAAAAATCGATGCAATTGTTATTTTTAGAAAGTGTCGAAATAAGAAAGTTTATACAGTTATTAGACTATCTCTAATATGAATTTAATTGAAGGATGTAACTTATTCAGCCAAGAGAAGTTGTGCATCATCAGCTTTACCTGAAATGAACTTCAGCCTCATTGATCGTTTTGAAGCCTACCATACTCCTCATTATATTTAGTGTGCTTGAACGGTCGTAGAATATGCAACTCAGCACACAGCTTTGTCGAAAATACGAAATAAGTGTCTTTACTTTACTTTGTTACTGCCTAGTATGGATCTAGGTAGTAATTTGTTTTTACTGTAACTTTGTCACTCTTCTTTAACTCTTTCTTTCCTCCTTCCTTTATATCTTGATTATTATTGCAACAAGGCCTTTTAAAAGAGTGGGATCTTATTTCTAAAGAAGAGGAATTATTATTCGCCATTTCCTTTTGGGCATACCAAGGAGTGGAAGCAACATCCGTTATTAAAAATGCGTCTCTTCAGGTTTTGATAGCAATACGTTTCAGTTTTCACTAATTTAAAGTCACTTTGGCACAACGTCAATTCGGTTTTTTTGTAGCGATTTTTTTTAAATGTAACAATAGAGTTTTTCTTCAAATAAATGATTGATTGTTGTTAGAAATTACTAAAAACATGTTGTCCTTTTGTAAGTTGTTGTAACCATAAAACATCAAAAAACAAAAAATTTATTTGTTTATATCTGAAATGTGCAAGTGTTTCTTTTTTGTACCGGTGAGTGTAAAATGGATATGATATATCCGTTTAGTAGACTGCTCTATGCCACATATTAGTTCTATAATTTTTGTGCATAAAATAATAGATAAGATACAGATGATTGTAGAAAATAGCTATTTGTGTATGAAAAGCGAAAAGTGATACTTTGTCGCTTGAGACAGAAAGTCTTTTAGAAGCGGCAACGAAGTTCTGCTTAAAATTTTTTTACGATCATACTTTTTTTTTTCAGAAATAAATATAAAAACTGAAAATTTGTCGTAAATAGTCTATAATGTGTTGCCTATGCCTACATTAATCATATAAAGCAGTTAATATTTAAAGTCCATGTTAACTTGGATAATATAACCAAAAAACAAGTAACTTGAAAATCATTTATTATTATAATAAATATTACTTTATTATATCTTATTAATACAGGCGTGCAACAAAGCTGTCAAATTTTTCACTCGGCGAGCGACAAAGCTGTCATCTAATGTTATTTCATAAAAAATGTCAACTTTACGGTTGAATTTTGAAGCGCAGAAGCCTACTTTGGATAGTGATCGTAAAAAAAATACTTTCCGTTCTAGTGCCGTCATTAATTTCGTTTTTTGCTCCTAATCATTTTACTTTTCTAGGAAGATAAATTGAACAAAGAATCACATCGGAATTGTAGACACACATTAAAATAAATGATCGACGAATATAATTTAGATGTTTAGAGAAACAAGCTTCTAAGTAAATATTTACTATTTATTTGATTTGGGACAGCTTTAGCTATAAGTAGTTTAAAAGTTTGTTGACTATTCCTGTTTTTTCTTTATTTCATAGATCAACCATATCTTAACCCTTGAATGTATAATGAATCATATTTGAAACACCTCTTATTTATTCGTACTACCGCAGTCTATTAGCAGTTTCGAGAACTATAAAACGTATCATACGTGTAACAATATACGGTCAAGCTAAAAACATAGTAGTCATAAAGTTTTTTTCGATTTCGTAAAAGAAGTAATGCCCCTAAATAATTTTGAAAAATTGCGTTCCAACTTACATTTTATTAACAATGAAACCCAAATTACTGTTGGGCAGCAAGGATTTGACAAGCTTCATAAGATCCGTCCTATAGTTACCAGGTTACAAGAAAAATTTATATCTGTTACTGTTGAAGAACGTTTGTCAGTCGACAAGCAGATTTGTGCCACCAAAGTAAGACATCATCTTAAGCAATTTTTTTTATGTGGTGTTTCTGGCTATGCCTATGCATTTAAAGTCTATACTGGACAAGAAAACAATTTAAATGAAAGACCTGTAGATGAACCAGACCTGGGGGCAAGTTTAAATGTAGTGGTTCGCTCAGCAAGAGTTCTTGCTAAATTCAAGCGTCGTAAAATCTACTTTGACAACTTTTTTACCTCTCTTACCCTCATAGTGTACTTGCATAAATAAGGCATTTTGCCGCTTGGAACAGTGAGAAGAAACAGGATTCCAAACTGCAAACTTCCAACTGAACAAGAGTTCAAAAAAGAAATAAAAGGAAAATCTGTTGAATTTGTTGGAAATGTTAACAGTGTTGATATCGTTTGCATATCCTGGAAAGACAACAAAATTGTTAATTTATTGTCTACCTTTTCTGGATAGAAACCGGAAACGACTGCTAGAAGATTTAACCGTAAAAATAAACAATATAAAGAAGTTAGCTGCCCAGAAATTATTACAATTTATAATAGGCATATGGGAGGGGTGGATTTGTTTGATAGCCATAGCGGACGCCACAAAATCAGGCTAAAATCAACAAAATGGTATTTTAGATTGTTTTATCACCTAACTGATGTAGGTTTAGTAAATGCGTGGCTACTATACAAAAGGGTATGTGAAACTAAAAACATAATGCCTATAACCCAAAAAAATTTCAGGATTGAAGTTTCGCAAACCTTGCGTACAATTGGAAAAAAGTCCACAAAACGAGGCAGACCATCAAGTAGTGAAATACAAGATACAATAGAATTAAAAAAAAAAAAGGGAAACCCAGCTACTGTAGTACCACCAGTAGACGTCAGAAAAGTTTCGATCGATCATTGGCCCGAGTGGAGAGAAAATAGAGGAATGTGCAAAAATCCAACGTGCAAAAGCCTAACTTTTGTAGCATATTCTAAGTGCAAACTAAGCCTATGTTTTAACCAAAAATCTAATTGTGGCACTTTCCATGAAAATTAACACTTGATTATATTACATTTTGTTGCGCAATGTATCATTTGTGAAACACGTCCTTCTCTTCAATTTTTTTAAATAAAAAAGCTGAAATAATTTTTTTTTATTATTTTTCCTTTGATATGAATGCCATAATATACTTGAAGGTATTTTTTTCTGACAAAAATAAAAAATCATGCATTTAAGGGTTAAATGTTCTCTAAATCTAACTTACAAGGCGCTTCTAGTTTGCCCAATAAAGCCAACTCACCAGTAAAATTGGCAAATTTCCAGTCATTTACTGTTAAATAAAACAACATTCAGGTAACAAAATATTTAATAATTTTAAGAAATAGTTTTTAATTTAAGGCAAACTTGCAACGTAATTATAAAATCTCGTGGACAAAGTTGTAAGTAAGCCATATTTCCAAACGGCTAGATAGCAAAGGAAAGCCCAGAAAGCATTTTTGACAGTTTTATCTAGTAGATTCAATCTGAAAAAAGTTAAAAATAGATCATTACTTTATTTTTATATAATTATACAACCAATAGGCCAAAGCTCGATTACAGATATACATAATAAAACAACAAAAAATTCGTAGATGTACCAAGACCTAATTTTAGGATGGTAACGTCAAATTTATGGCACTGTTATCAACTTTAAAAAATAAGAATTTGAAATGTCAGTTGACAGAATGGAAATATTAGGCGTATGGGAAAGGTAAAAGAAATGTGTTCTGGTTCGAAAATGTAAATAATTAGAAGTATCAGATAAGTTTTGTTTACAAAAGTTTCAGCAATGTTTGTGAACCAAATCCTAATTTTATTGAAAATAATTATCCTAGGCCTACTCCAGTGAGTACGACTTTCTGTCAAATTTTTGAAAATTCCAGGAACCAATTACCCCAAAATCGTAGTTGGGTACTCGAAGAATCAAATAATGTTGAAATTTATGATTTGCAAGATAAATCAAATGATTTTATGAACAGTAATTATGAGTACGAAATTGTCGACCCCCCCTTCCTGGCGATTATAAACCAATAGTTTTCAGGTACACAGCCTCCGAAATCCAAAACCATAATAGAATTTTATTATTTATTCGATAAAGGACATTTCCCTTATATTGCAATAAATAACCCACCATTAAAACTTTTACTAGACACAGGGACAAATAGATCATTTTTATCCCCAGACGTTGTTGATAAATACTTTTCAAAAATTAAAATAGAGGACTCATTTTCTGTTTCAACAGCTTTTGGCTCCTTCAATCATAATTTTTCAGTAACCATTCCGGCATTTCCAGAATTCCAAAAAAAACAGGATATAATTATTTTTTGTTATACAAATTTTATTGCATATTTGATGGACTATTAGGAAAAGATTTATTAAATTCATTGAATATTCATATTGATTTGCCAAACGCGTAAATAATTTCAAATAAGTATATTTGTATATAAGTATAAGTATATAAGTATCCAAAAATGTATTCTTACTTTCACCTATATACAATACCAACCCAAAATAACTCTATTCTTATCCCCTCCAAATATTTTCTGGCAATACAAGGAAATAACTATGAGTACGATGGCAAAGAATGCAAAAATTTGAACTCACTATACTTTTGCACACACATGAAATCTATTGTCAATACTAATGCAGCTATCACCAAATACTACAATTGAATAATCAAGACATGTGAACTTACTTCAATCCAAATCAGTTCTGAGGTAATCAAACGAATCAATTCTTCTCACTGTATTGCAGTCTTTCCTTTAGACAAGTATTAGAAATTAAAAATTTAAAAAAACCGACTTCAAAAACGTGCAGATGCCATCACCACATCTTAACCAAATTTATATGGGACCACCCCTGAGGTACCCCCTTACTAACAAAAAGAAGAATCATATAAATCGGACAAGGTGGTAAAGCATTATCGCTAAACATACATAAAAAATGAAGAGTTTGAGGATTTTCTCATGGACCCAATTATTTTATTTTGACTAAATTTATATGGGACCACCCCTGAAGTATCCCTTTTCTAACAAAAAAAGAATCATATAAATCGGACAAGGTGGTAAAGCATTATCGCTAAACATACATAAAAAATGAAGAGTTTGAGGATTTTCTCATGGACCCAATTATTAGATTTCGACTAAATTTATATGGGACCACCCCTGAAGTACCCCCTTTCTTACAAAAAAAGAATCATTGAAATCAGACACCGTTTTAAAGAATAATCGCTGAACATACATAAAAAAAAAAATATCGCGACGAATTGATAACCTCCTCCTTTTTTGAAGTCGGTTAAAAATAAGATCTAAATCAGCTGTGCAAAGTCAAATCTTGCAGATTTAAAAGGTACCTATTTTATGGAAGTACCGAAGAGTTGCAGTTTCCAAACCCTGAAGAACAGTACATTCCCGAATCGGTCAGGTAGAATTTTTAACAACTAAACTGGTTCCCGGGTACAACGAAACTGCATCCGCGGTGCAAATTTTATTACTACTAAAATTCTACGAAAATTTAAGCAGTGTTGTCAAATGTAATTTTTGAAAGTAAGTAAAAGAAACATACATAAAAGGTACTTGATTGAACCAGAAAAATGTTAGAAAATGGACATGCATATAACATAATTATTATTGGAAGATGTATTTTTATATACTGGTTATTCCAGTAATAATTAACATAGTAATAATTGTTGTTTTGTGATGAGGTTATTTGGATAAAATTAACTTAAATTACCTCTAAAGGACTTTTAACTAGCTTTAATTCCAAGATTATCTATGGGGTGGGTTTTTTAAATGCCAAGGGAAGACCAGTATACTATCGCCAAATATTATTAATTTTAGTTCGTCCTTCTCTTTGTGTTGGTGTTTTTGTGCAGTTTTTAATAATGAAAGCAACATTTTGTTTAAGTGAGAGAGGCATGTCATTATTGAAATTCATGGCAATACATTCAGTTTTCAAAAAATGTTGGCCAATAAAACCATAAAACGATAGCTATGCAGTATAAGCGAACATGAAAGGCATTTGTGAAAACCCAAGGATTTGACGATACAATAGTGCAATCAGTTTTGGATCAGAATCATGAAAAGTTATCCGATGAATTTTTAACAGACATCTCGTGAGTTATTCGGTTAAGCTGTGAAGGATATTTGTAAAAAATTCTTAACTCAATAGAAACGGAATTAAAAATTCTGCAGTCGCGACCTTAACCACAAAGGACATTGTAAGATTGAGGCAATGCTAGATCTTCTCTTCTTTTTAAAAATCCTAAAAATATTTCTGAATTTCATATGGCAATTGAGTCGTCTCCTATTTTAAAAATGACTAAGAAAATAATATTGTCATATTTATCAACCTTCAATTTCTGTAATCTATTTCTTATTGGTAAGTTGATGGTACATTTGAATATGGTCCCCGTTTTTAACACGCTTATATTAGTTTCACTTGTATGTATGTTTGTAACTCTCCTTTGGACTATAAAAGCAAGTGGCTTATTACTGTCAGTATATCCCACTACCTCAAGTTCGTTCGTTGGCCGAGCGGTCTAAGGCGCGGGTTTTTGATTGCCAGACTCACCGATCGTGAGTTCTAATCCCGTTCATGGCTGAAAAAAAAATAATTGTTTTTTTTCAGCAATTTTAACTTTTTTTTTAAATAATTAATCGAACTAAAAAGTAAAAAATAAATATAGTTTAAAAAAAAACTAAAAAATACGCTTTTATAATACATCGAACTAAAAAGTGAAAAATAAATATAGTTTAAAAAAAACACGCTTTTAGAGCATATCAAACTAAAAAGTTAAAAATAATTTTTCAAATAAGCTTAAAACAATAATACTAGTATTTTCCATTTATTATTGTTTTAAGCTTATTTGAAAAATTATTTTTAACTTTTTAGTTTGATATGCTCTAAAAGCGTGTTTTTTAGTTTTTCTAAACTATATTTATTTACTCAGTTGTTTACAATTCATGGTCTTAAAAATGATCATTACATTCCATTAGTTTTTTGTCTCCTTCCTAATAAAACATTTTTATCATACAAACTTGTTTTTAAGTATACAATAAAAGAGTGTGTCAAACTTAACCACCCTGTTTCGCCAAAAATGATAACAGCAGATTTTGAGACTGCTATTATTCATAAAAGCATCTACAAGGCGTTAGCAGAAGCAGGTCTACGAGGTTGTCGCTTTCACTTAGGCCACTTAGGGCAGTCTTGGTACCGAAAAATTCAGGAATTAGGCTTAGCTACAGAGTACCAAAACAAGGGGGAGAGTGAAACGGAAATATCAAAATTTTTACCCTTTGTTTTTGGATTACCATTTCTTCATCCTCAAGATGTAGGCGACAATTAAGCCTGTCAATGAAAAAGTTACGCAGTTTTGTGATTATCTTGTTGACAATTATGTTGCAGAAAACTTTTACCATTTATATGGGCAGAGCATTCTTCTTCTTTGCAGAGAACCACCAATTGTTGTGAGTCTTTTTATTCGAGATACGCCGCTCACCCTAATGTGAATGTTTTTGATAAATGTGATAACTCAATTTCAAATTGACACATATATAAAAATTATTAGTGTTCTAATCCCAAAAAAACTTGACACTCAAAGTTTAAGGAGAAGATTTCTCGAAGACTTGCCGAGTGATTTAAATAAACATAAAATAAGTAAATAAGACTATTAAAATAATTTCGTATAAATTTAGAACCAAGTTTTAATTATATTTCACAGTTTTAATAAACATTTAAATATGTATTTGTTGTTGAATTATTGCCCATTAGTCAATTTACAAAATACTTAGATTAATTAATAAAATAACTAAAAAGAATCAATAGTCTTAAAACCTTACTGGCTAAAAAATATTTTCTGAAAATGTTATTGACTGAATATAAAGAGAACGTCTGTAGAATTTTTAAATAAACAACGCAAAAGGTGGCAACAATGGCTCAATTTTAGAGCTAAATTTGCTTAGCCTACGATAGGTGACCCTTACCTTATGGGGATGCAATTTCGTTGTGATCTTCTTTGAATCAGGTAGGAAACCCTTTTTTGGGATGCCGTTTCATAAGAGCCACTCAAATAACATTAACGTTATTCACTGTTACCAGAAATTAAGATAAATAAAGTCACTGAAAATCATTTCAGAAAAATCGATATTAACGAAATACCCCTCGACAAGATCCAGCCCTATTACAGAAGAAACAAAATCGAATCCGTCAAATAAGTCTTCCCTTCAAGCAATACCCACCTGTAGTATACGCCACTGTGGGTAATGGGTGCTGTTGCTCTCATCATCATGTTTTTTAAAATAAGGCATCCGAAGTCCAAAAATCAAAAATTGACAATACCTATCATCCAATAAGCAACTTTCAATATCGATACCGAAGAAGACGGATAACGATCCACACCTTGTATTGATCTTTCTGGGAAGGGAGGAATTATATCATAGAAACTGTTAAGATGCCCAGAAATTCATAGAATCCTACCAGCCGGCAGCTCAAGTTCTGGTTATCAACAAACATATGTTAAACAGTAGTTATTTTTACATTCAGTCTGATGTTAGCATTCACTTAATAAAGATAGTATAATTATATTTCTGTTTGAATAAAAAATATATATTTTTTTAAAAAATCGTATTATATTTTTAGCGTCAGAACTTGATTTGTTTGTAGAGAAGAACTCGAAGAAGAATATCAGTGATAAAAATAACTACTAACCTTTTATATCTGATTATTTCTTCCTTGGAGGCTTGTTCCCGTTCACCTTCTAACAAAAATACACGAGGTTTAGCTACAAACATTTTTAAATATTCTTCGATTTCATCGTCGTTCGCTCCCTTGCACCTGTTATGTAAATACGAAAAATTCTTTTTATCGCTATTGGTTAACGTGCTTTCCAAGCCTACGTAGTTTTTATTTATAAATGTCCATGGAATTCCCCCTGAAGGCATCGTAAATGGCAGCAAAGCCATGTTTGCAACGACCAATTTTCGACGAAGGCTTAAAATACTAAAACAGAAAAAGTGCCAAATGATTAGACAGTTTACTTAATTTTTGTGTAAAAATAACATAACTCACTCACTTTTTGTCATAAAAAGAGAAAAATATTTAAATTAATCTACTCTAATATTAGACCAGCGCTGAGGCCTTTGAAAATGGTAACAAGTAGAAAAAACCTAATAGTAGGATGAAACCCATTGCACGGTGCTTGGGAACCAACTTTAAATGAAAAGTATATTTACTAGACTTTTTTTTCGGTCAAAGTATTTCTGAAGGGCTATAGATTGGCGCAATATATTTTTTAAAATCGGTTCCAGCAGCCATTTTTGAGAAAACTCGATTTTTCATGAAAAGTGACCTTTTTTTGCTTTTTTGCTTGTAACTTGCGCATTTCACATTTTCTCGGCTTGCCAAAAGTAAATTTCAATGGGAAAATGTCCGCTCTACAAAAAGCATCAATGACTTTTTTTCTTTAAAATCAGCCGATTTTGAGTTAAATGAGAATAAAAAACGATATTACGGTTTTTGGACTATCTTTGCTGCATTTTTTTACTTTTTCACTTGTAAATCGCCCGTTTCGCGTTTTCTCGGGTAAGAAAAAAGATAAATAGAACAAGAAGGATTCGGTGTATAAAAGTGTATCAATCACAAATGTTTAATGTTATAATCACAAACTACTCGTAATAATTTTGCGTTGTACTGAGGGTGTTCCTTTAACACTTTATAATTTGTCCAGGTAACACAAAAATCATGGTGTAGTGATTCAATCGCTTGTTCACTATAGAACCCAAGTCCATTCCACGTTTTCAAGCAAAAGTCACTGACATGGAAAAATATTGCATGTATTTTTGGAGTAACAGAGATACCCAATGCTTCGTAACTTTCTTTGAACAATTGGATGTCTGTGCCACGCCACTGAAAAACACGAATCCACAACTTTTCGAAATATTTTTTGCTGCGAACTGGTTTATTTTGGGCAAAAAATTCAGGAGACATTTTTTGTTTAGAATGAAAGAGGCTATCGGAAATAAATTTTTAAATGGTAAACAAATAATAAGACAAAAAGTTACGTTGGAAGGAAATTTTAGGGGTTGCGTTTTCCACCCCTTACAACCGTGGGGTAAACCAAATAAATTACTGGCTAAGTGAAAATGACAGGTTAATTTCAATATTGTAACTTGTTTAGTGCTTGTGAAAAAAATTGTTAAACAAATTTTATGTACCCCCTTTAAGGGGCTGTATCTTAACAAGGGATGCTCCAATGAAGTTTCTTTATATGAAAGATCCTATCTTTTTTTCGATGACTAATCACCTCCTTAAATGTTTTACACTTATTTAGTTACACCCTGTATATTAGCTAAATCTTTTATATTGCTAACCTTATCCTATTAATGGGCTTGGCCCGTGGATATTGTACCATAAATAAATAAATAAATGAACTTCCTTAAAATATTGTAGATGTCTTATTAAATATTAACTTTATTAACCTTCACCTTCTCGTCGATTTTCGATATCTAAATTTCGAAATCGAAACTCGTAACGACATCTATCGGCAGTCAAGGGATATACTTTTATAACTAGGCCAGTGGGATAGCGCTCTCAAAATAAATACCTTTTTTTAAAGACCCATGAGAACAATTATTATTCTTTTATAGTGATATAATAGAAGAAGACACACCTAAAATTTCAGCCTTTTTTATCGAAAATCAAAAAAGTTTTGATTTTTTTTTTGTGAAAAAAGGCATTTTGTTAAATTTTCCAGTTTTCCGGATTTTTATGAACGCTGATCTTTATTTTTTCAACTCGGACTATTCTACAGTTTAAAGTTGTATCTAAAGAGGATCTCTGAATTTTTTTGAGACAAAATAATCAATATTTCAATTTTTACAAAGATTTTTATCACTGGGGTTCGCCCGTACCTTACGAGTCCATGTATGTTACTCAGGACGAGCATGCCAGGTGAAGCTTAACTTATTTGGTTGTTAATTGTAGTAGCATTGTAGTAGTATATTTCGAGTTGCAATGTAAGATGGAATCTTACGTTTCTTGAGTAATTAAAGTGTAAATTTTAATAAATAGCTCAAAATTGTACATAATGATTCAAAAAAAATTTCGGCTTCGAGGTTTTTTCGTTTCTTTGCTTTTTCTGAGAACATTTACCATAGTAATGTATATATTTTTTACACCACTAGAAAGTAGAGATTTCAAAGAACAAAAAGCTCATCGACTTTTTTAAAAAGCAGATATTTTAACGGGAGAATTTTCCATTGAAAATTAGTGTGCTTTTTCGATATTAAGTCAAAATAAGGTGAAAAAATAAATATTTTAAATCAAAAAAATTACAGTATATTTGGGACATAAAAAGGTAAGTTTTTACCAAATTTCGAGAAACAGATAAAAATAAAAAACCAAAAACTTGGTTATTTGAATTGTTTACTTAAATTTTGAGGTTATGTAAAGAAAGTGTAAATACAAAAGTTGTAAATATTTGTATAACCTACAACTTTTTTATTTAATTTTTTTCCATAAGACTTTTGCCAGGAATCGATATAAAGCGTTTTTTACCCTTAAAAACTTACCCCCTTCCACTTCCCCGCCTCAGATCGCCCGTAAATTATGTCTCTTTTTATTTTTGTTATATTTTCTTCCTTTTCCAATGGGTTTCATCCTATTATTTCTTTTGGTTTCAAAAATTATCGACCCTGATCTATATTGATATATTGATAGGGAAACACAAAAAATGTGGGAATGTAAATTTATCCTGCTATGATTTAAAAATAAACATCTAACCTTAGTTTTTTGCCAAAAAGTTTCAGTAGCAGATCGATAATAAGAGCCGGAAAGAAATGAAATAACAGATTGTAAACGTAATAACCGTATGAACATTTCATCAGTGTAACAGGTCCTACTCCCATATAATATCTCAAAGGATTCTCCTTCTGAATTCTATACCCAATTTCATTACTTTGACGTGACGTATAGAGAAAGTCTGAAGTTGCGTTGTAAATTTTAATTTCGTCTGTCGTTTTCCTAAAATAAAAATAAGTATTAAAAAATGTTTTTTGATTTAATTTTAATAGAAATAATGTATCTAAAAAATAATGAAATTTGTATATCGAAGATTCAAAGACAGTACCTCGTAAGTAACATTTTTGTTGAAATCTACTTTTTATTATATTTTAATTTAGGACACACAGATCCATCTACTGGCAGTTAAAATAATTTAAAAGCAGGACCAAATGAACTGGAGTGGGGTAGAATGCTTGTTAATAGGCTTGAGATGCGACTCTATGGGCGAAGACAGGTTATTTTTCATCTCACTCGGGAGTATTTATAACAACCATTTTCTATTTCACTTTGTTATTGCCTGATCCACCAGCTTGCGGATTGAACCGAGCGAGATGAGCAATAAAAATGGCTGCGCCCATAGAGTCGCATCTTGTTCCATTGATACAATATGCACATTGTCTTTCTACCTCACTCCAGTTCATTGGCAGGACCTCGTATGTATTTCGTTTGTACAGTATGTCAGTTGCCATATTTAACTGTTGTTATGTTGCTCGCCGCTATTAAAAGTTTGAAGGTAAAACATAGATTATATTAACAAAAATTTTATTTAGTCTGGTAATTACTACTTACTTTGTTGTCTAAAACAGCTTTTTTTTGGTTGGTGGTAATGAAGAGTTTTTTTTTAAATCTATTTTATTTACAGATGTCACATACGAGGTCCTGTCTTCCATGCACTTACGAGTTACTGCACTTTAAAACCAAGTTTTAATGGCCATTATTGTTTGATACGTATTGTGTTGCTCGCGGCTATTGGATGTTTAAAGGTAAAACAGTTATTTTATTTAAATAAACTTTATTTATTGTGGTAAATAGAATCCAAGTTTGTTATCTAAAGAAGTTTTATTTGTTTCTGTTGATTCATGTTTCTCATGAAACCTTTTTTATTTACAGGGTGTCACTTATGAGATCCTACCTTTGATAAAGTTACGGACTTACTGCACTTAAAAAGCATGATGTCATTAATTTTAAGTCGTACGAAGGAAATGATACAGTTAGTTAAAGATAAAAAACTTAAAATAATATGTTCGCCATCTAAAAGAACATATCAGGACATGAGAAATAATGAAGACACTGAAAATATTATTGATCCGGATGATAATGATAGTCATCAAGCGTAGAAAAAAAGAAATGTCATTTCTACTTCCCCTTTATTGGAAATAAATAACGTTCCAGTTCTTAGTCCAAAACAAATGGAAGACCTTATTAATAATGCTACCGTGGTTTTTGATGGGGAATGTAGAGGAGGCATTAGACTTGCTGGAAGATAATAATATCATGAAAAATGCTTGTGTTATGAAAAAAAACTACCGAAAATAAAGTAATCGAGAGTGAGCAAGAAAATATTCAAGGTGGAAGAAATAGTTTAGTAGAATCTACTAACGAAGATAGTGACGAAAGTTATGCTCCGGAAATGGATGGTGAAGGATCTGACATAAATTGTAGCTTAAGTTTCGAGGTTGAACATGGTGTACCAAATGCATCAGATCAAAAAAACAAATGAACAGAAGAAGAAGAAAAAACAAAAAGGCGAAAATAAAAAGAAAAAGAACAAAATGCTAAGATGCTAAGAATGCGTGGAGAGAAATATATAGGGTTTAGGAAACCTGCAGGTCAGCGAAATACATTTCATGACAAAAACAGAACCGAACGAAAGATGAAAATAAGATGCAAGTGCAAAAATAATAAATCTATGCCTAAATGTTTCCTAATCTCGGATGAAGACCGTGACAACTTATTTAAAATGTATTGGAAATAAATGTCTTAGGACCAGCGCAAAGTATTTGTGTCCAATACCGTTATTGTAAGTAGAAAAACAAGACCAAAAAAATTAGACTGTGATTCTCGCCGTAAAGTTACATTTCGATATAGCTTGAAAATTAATAATGAAAATGTTCCTGTGTGTAAATCCATGATGGTACCTTGGAACGTTAGCTTTAGGAGAGTAGTCTGTAAGATCCTGGGCGATGGAAAATCAAATTGGAATAAATGAATCACGTGATAACAAAGTTAATAAGCGGGAACCACTTGTAAAATCTTTAAAGAAGACGGAGAATTTTTAACTCATTTTTTGAAAAATCTCAACACACTCCCATCCCATTACTGTCGTAAAGACACCAATAGACTCTATCTGGAGCAAGTTTTTTAGTCTGTTTCAGATTCGTATAGAGTTTACTGCAAATTTTGTGCCAAAAATAGAAAGAAACCATTAACTCACACTTGTTTGAGAAGTATGATGGATACAATGTAATTATCTATCTTTCATCCACGCAAAGACCAGTGTGACACATGTTTTAAATTTGAAAATGGAAATTTATCTGAAACAGAATACAATGACCACATAATGAGAAAGGATCTAGCTAGAAGTGAAAAAGAACGAGACAAAAAAGAGGCTATTGAAGGGAAAGTCTTTGTTATTATAATGGACGTTCAGATAGTGAAACTATCTTCCCAGTTACTGGCCAGTGCACTTTACTACAAAACCAAAGTTTGCTGTCACAATTTCACTGTCTACAACGTAGCTAATAGTCAAGCCAGTTGCTATTGGTACAACGTGATAGAGGCAGATGGCCAAGCATCACATACGCATCTTTTCTGGAACATTATTTGGAAGAACATTTTCTGCGCTCATCAAACAAACTTCCCATAATTATCCATTCTGATGGGTGCACGGCACAAAATCGGGACAGTGTAATATCCAATACCTTGCTTTACTTATCTGAAAAATACAATGTCGTGATCGAACAAAAATTTTTAGAGAAAGGTCACACTCAGATGGAATTTTTAACGAACAAAATGTACCAATCTTTAATTTTTTTTTATTTTCCTATATTTTTCAAGTAAGTAGTTTTAAATAAATTTGTTATCAAATAAATACATAATTTTAAAAACGAACGTACTTGTCTTACTTTTTTCAAAATAATTGTGGTGTATTATCACTATAATTAAACTTTACCTCGTAATTGGCAGGCAAAAACCGACATTACCTCGTAAGTGTGTCTATTTTTTTAAATTTAGCTTTGTGCCTTTTATCTTTTACTTATAAAATCAAGAAGTTTACAATACAATAGATTTGAAAGATTTAAAAAAAAACTATATCTTATCAAATTCTAAACAGTTTTTTGTTCATCCTGTAAAATAAGCTTCTTGATACTTACGAGGTACTGTCTTTGAACCCTCGATATGCATTGTTCAATATTTTTAGATCTTCTTTGTCAGATAATTATTTATATTTCACCAATTCCTGTTGTGCTCCTTGTCAATCATTTTATTTGAGAGCTTCGCCTTCTTCTTTTGATAGTTATGCATGTTTTTCAAACTTTTTTTGTTGATAATTCAGTCTCAGTACTATCTAAATGTTCTGACAAATAATTTTCCAGATAACCAAATAGTCCCTTAAGGTCAAACCGTCCATATATTTACCATATATTTACTTCCAGTATATCGCCAAAAAGCGGCTCGTTGCGGTGCTATTAAGCATGCGTATCGAGTCGTGTTCCAATGTTGAAATTATTTTTTATTAATTATATAAAAGTTTTGATTATCACAAACATATTATTATGTTCAGCGTTAGTCTTACAGGTAATTTTAGTCAGTCTTGAAATACAATGTAGATATATAAAAAAATTTAATAGTTATTTACCGACCTAGTGTATTAATTGTCTTTTAATATAAGAGTTCGTCACAAGATTTTTTCAGCGACCGAATCTTTATGGAAATGACCAAATCAAATTTCCAATTTCGAACAAATTTGAATGTTTGATTTGAAAGAGTCAATTTTCTATGCAGTTACAAAAATATCAAATAAGGACAATTCACAACAAACAATGCAAGTGTAGTCGTAGATAAACGGTGATTAATTGAAAGTAAATCATTAATGAAGCCAATTAATTATCAGAAATACAATCAGTTATACAAACTTTACCAGTGGCGTACAGTATGGATAAATAACACCTTCATCTCCTCTAAATTTTAAACCACTGTCCAAAAAACTTATATGGGCTATACTTGTTGGGAACTCAGAAGAAAGTGATTGGTTTTCGAGATATTAACTGCCAAAATTTTAATTTATTGGTTTTTGTAATTTTGGGGTGTACTGTCAGTACTGACCGTCCCTTATTTACGGGTCGGCAATAGAAACTACCTGAAACCGTGTCACTACGAACCGCGACATTTTTTTGCGAAAATCAGATTCCCATTAAGGGCCGCCAATCGATACTCCCCTTCAATTTAAATTTTGTTTACAAGTATATATAACAACTGCCATATTTAAATAAATATCTGCAAAGGTTATTAGAAAAAATATTTGCGGGTTACGCATAAATAACAGAGAAATTTGAGTTAAAACTTGCGAATTTTGATGATTCTAATCTAAGATTTTTCGATATTCTTGTAAGGCATATGCATGGTTGCCAAACATTTGCGGGTTACGCATAAATAACAGAGAAATTTGAGTTAAAACTTGCGAATTTTGATGATTCTAATCTAAGATTTTTCGATATTCTTGTAAGGCATATGCATGGTTGCCAAACATTTTAATATATAACAAAATCTAGGTTAATATTTGACATAATCCATTAGGTACTTTTATGAATCAATGCTCATATCACGCAAAAAATGTAAGTATTAGGAAGATATATTTTTTTAATAATCCAATTTTTTTATGCTTACATTTTAGGCATTAGGAAAAATAGTCCTTTTCAAATATACCACCGGAAACTTTGTGACCTTATTTTTGGCGTAACATTTTTAAACACTTTAAAAATCACTACTTTTATTAATTTATTTCGTTGATTTTTCTAAAAAAAACTTTTATTTTCCAATCACATCGCATTTTTTTTTAATTTTGATTAAATTCTACATATTAACTAAATATTAATATTACTTCATCTATAAAGTAATAAACAATACTTATTTTGGGTTATCCAAAAGTTTTGAAATTTTCAAACAAGGAAATTAAGTAGTCTGATAAATGAATTGTCAATCAAATTCAATGACTATATCAATTGAAGAGGATAGCCGAATTCATTCAATTTCTGCCGTATCCGGCGCGGCGTGACGTCACCCCTGGAAACTGTCAGCCGTTCCATTTAAAACGTACATGGATATACCATATTTTTAAATAACGTTATATTTAATTTATTTTTAAACTAAATGATATTTCAGATATTTAAAAAATAATTTTACCAGAGAGAAAATTAAACTTATCTGAAAATTATAGAAGTAAATAAATAGGTAAATAGAAGGTAACAAATTTAAATTCTATAGCAATGTTTTCTAAACATTTATTTAATGAACTCATATTTAAGAAATTTGACATGCTAAAGTCGAAATTTATATACAAAGTAAACAAAAAGTAACGTAACTTATTAATATGTATATTCCTAATAAATTTACAAAAAAAGTTTTGATAAAAGTGTCATGATATAAATTAAGTTATCAGTATAAGTTAATAAGAAATGCACTTTTGTGCTTAATAAGAAATATACTGGGTTGACCAATATTTATAAACTACAAAGAATATATTTTTTTAAATAGTTTTTCGTGCTTTATTAAATTTAAAATATAACCGTTAAAACAACATTGTGCTAACTTTATTAGCCATTAGCCTTCCCATTCGTTATTTTGGAGTAATGGTGTACCCGATATATTTCTCACTGACTTATATTGATAACTTGATTTATTTCATAAACAAAATAAGTCTCCTGACACATACACAATAAAAGCACGTTTGTGCTACCACGTCCCAACTAACTTAGAAGCGAACTTGGCCAATGTTTTGAAATTTGAACGCACCCTTTTTACACCAACGGCAAAGAGTATAGTTAACACAAGAGATCGCACTCAAATGTCAATCGATCTGAAAGTCTGTGACCTTGAAAATTTAAAATATTTTACTCGGATAAATGTATCTTATCTAATATAACCCAGCTTTCTGATCATTTCTCTTTTTGGTTCAAACATTTATTTATAATCGAATTTTTTATACATCTGTGTTTTTTAATACAAATTACATCATATAGGTCTGTGCAGTGAAAAACTGCAAAACTACTAATTATTTTTCTAGATGTCATTATTATCATGTGACAGCAACCAACCTTCTGATTGGTGACGCCAGACTTGTCAAAAATACTAGGAAGGAGGCATCGAGGTCAACATTATTTTAAAAATCAAAAAAACATAAATTTTGTAATATCCACACTAATTTTGTCTTCAAGTGGCTTAAAACCTGAATATTTTTTACTTTTAGATGTTATTTTTCTCATGTGTCAGCAAACCAACGTGCTCATTGGTGACCCTAGACTTGTCAAAAATACCCCAAACCAATAGGGAAGAGGTACCGAGGTCATTGAAAATTGAGCCAGAATTTAACATGGCAAGTATAGGGAGTGAGAGGCCTGTGCCAACGGGGTCTTATTACTAGAGCGAACCAAGCACGCTCTCATGGTGTAAATGTAAAAAGAACAATCGTAAATTTCAAAATGTCGGCCAAACGCGTTCTCTTCTAAGGTAGTTGGGGTGTAGAAAGACGAGCGCGTTTTTGTGTTAGACACCTTTTTAATTTTTTTAATTCTAATAAATTTACAAAGAGTGTTTTGGATAAAATTTTTATGAAATAAATTAAGTTATATCGGTATGTCAGTTAGAAATATACCAGGCGCAGTATTACTCCAAAATAAAGTTAGCACAATGCAGTTTTAATAATTTTATTTTAAGTTTATTACAGTACAGAAAAAATATTCTTGCTTAATTTTGGAATAGTGCCCAACCCAGTGTATCTCCTATTAAGTTATACTGATAACTTGAATAATTTCATTAAAGTTTTTTGTAAACCTATCAGAAATTTAATTTTAGTAAATTGCAATAACTTTTGTACACTTTGTATGTAAATTTCGACTTCTAACTATCTTATAACTAGCATGTGAAATTTCTCAAATATTTTTAGAAAACATGGCGACAGTATTCAAATTTATTACCTATTTCACTTACTCCTATAATGGGATATTTGCAATGTTTTCGCTTGTGAAAATGATGTTTGAATATCTGAAATACCTCTGATTTAAAAATAAATAAAATTTTTTTTTTTTTTTTTTTTTTCGATTTATGGCCTAGGTGTATATACCTAATATGCCAGTCTCAAATTTGTGTTTAAATTCTCAATCATGTGTGTTCTGTGTAGGCTTTGTTACTGTTTCCTAGCGCCACTTTAGGAACAGCACTGTTAATTAGAACCCAACAGTGAATGGTCGAGTGGGGAATCCTACCAAGGCATCAGAATTAATTTTAAATAATTAAATTAAATGAAAAAATTCCGGCCAACGGTGGGATTCGAACCTGGGACCCTTGGATCCACAGGCACAGGCTCTAACCACTGAGCCACCCACCCCCCATAAATAAAATTAAAAAAATTTATTGTATTGATATACAGTGTGTCTACTTAAGTTGGAACCATATGGAAAACATTTTTATTATTGATTTTAGGAAAAAAAGTTATTCTTGATAAAAAGTCCTGCATGACTCAAAACACCCAAAATACAGTCATCACATTTTTCTAGCCGTATACGAGGTTTGTCAAAAAATATTAATTTTGCTCAAGAGTAAAGTACGTTTATTTTTGACAAAATCGAAAAGTTGATTAGAATTAAATATTACATTCAAATATGCAATTACACCGATCTATCTGAAAAAACAGATTTTCTTATTTTTTATAAACTCGACACTCTACACATTGATTGTAAATATCTGAAAACGTTATAAATTACGTTAGCTACTATAAACATGATACGCTTTCCTTTTGTTGATGTTTGTGAAGAATTTAGCAAATTTCTTAATGAAAATTTTCGATTTTGTAAAAAAATAAACGTACTTTACTCTTGAGCAAAATTCATATTTTTTGACAAACCTCGTATACGGCTTCAAAAAGTTGATATCTGATGACTGTATTTTAAGTTTTGGGTCATGCAGGACTTTTTATCAAGAATAACTTTTTTTCCTAAAATCAATAATAAAAATGTTTTCCATATGGTTCCAACTTAAGTAGACACACTGTATATTTTAAATGAGATCCAGCTGAAATGCTAAAAGTATCCAGGGGTGACGTCACGTCGCTGCTGATTCAACAGAAATTAAAAGAATTTAGCTATCCTCTTTAATTGTTAAAGGCGTTGGTTGACAATGCATAATAAGATAATAAATTTTATATTTTAAAAAAAGTTTAAAACCTTTTGGGTTACACAAAGTAATTAAATTAAAAAAGTTTCGAAAAGTACTTTAGAGATGATGTAATATTAATATTTAGTCAATTTGTACTACAATTCAATCAAAATTAATGTATAAATCGCCGGATATGGCTGGAAATTAAAAGTAAAAGAGTTTTTTAAAATGCGAAAGGAAATAATTTAATAATTTTTATAAAATTCACACTCGATTGCCGTACGTTACCATCGATAGTGTTATCGATTGTCCGATATTTTATCAAATACAGGCACTTAAAAAATTGGCAACATTGCTATAGAAAATATTGAGATGTTCTTTGAGAAAATTGAGGTTATATCAAAAAAAGGGTTTATTTTCTGATTAATACACAATATTTTAATATTAACTTTAGTTATTTTGGTTCTGCCGCAGTTAAATTGATCAAAAATAGTGAGTAGTATCATTTGCATTAAGAATATAGCGAAAATAGTGTGCGTATTGTTTACAGTCACCGATGTCGAAGGTATGAAACTAAGCGTTTTAACACTGTTCCTATAGAGCTTCCACAAAATTGAGTCAAATATGTAGCCGTTTTTGAGGTAATTGGTGTGGACATGGCCGGGCTTTTATTTATTAGGTCCATGGAAAACGTTTGGGTCTGTGTTTTTACTTGTGGCAGTAACGAGAATATTAAAAGAATGGAATGGCCATTAGCAGTAGTCACAGAGACTTTTGCTGGAAAAGACGGAAATATTCGCGTTGTAGGCTTAAAAGCTTCTTCAGGTTTTGTCACAAGAACCCTAAAAAAGGTATAACCGTTAGAAGTTGTTTCAGAAACAGAAATTAATAATTTTAGAAGAAATTTTAAGAAGAAAATGGATAAACTTTACACAATAGATGAAGATACAAATAATGAAAATATCTCAGTTAGTCGATATGGTAGAAGAATAAAAATATTTCTAAGGTATCAGTCTGCAAATTGAATCTTATTGCCGTTATCGACTCACGGTGGAAGAATGCAGAAAATAAAGATACTAATGGTTTATACCTAGGTCTATTTTATAGTCTTCTACAGAGAAATAGTAATTTTTCTGATAATGTCATAAAGATTATTGATTGTCAATGTTATAATTTTAATAAGTCGTTTTGAATTATATCAAATCTCCATTACTATCTATTTTTTTACTAGAAGAGTTTATACCGGGTAGGTATTAGCTCATTATGAACAAAAACCATTCCTGTAGGTACCTATTTTCTAATCCTGCTCTATCGAAATGTTATGATTTAATTTCTATCCTTAATACATCAATTGACTTACATATAACAAAATTGTAATTTACGAAGTTACTTAGTTATAAAGATAACTAAAACAAATATATTGGGCTCACTACAAATTTGTAGAAGATATAAAACTGTCAGAACGAGAAAACAACAATCTCATTATTTTTCGGTACATTCTTGTATTACTTCAAAAGTACGTACTCTACGCCGTGTTTCCAAGAAGCTATGATGGTGACTTTGGCAACATTGTCGCCAAATACGTGATCTAGAATGGTATCTCGATCTAAATGCATCACTTTTGCGATTCCTGAAAATATAAAAATGTACGTCAAAACATAAAGTAAAATAAAACTAATAAAAATAATTTTACCTGATCCTCCTGCAATAAATAGGGTAACTGGTCCATTAAAATTATCTATGTAGCCTTCCATAGGTTCTTCGAAAGTTGGCGTTACTAAAAAGTTTGATTGAATTATTATCTTTAGTTAAGGTCACAAATGAAATGAAATATACCCAACTTGGTTCACTATAATCGGTTAATCCTATAATAATTTCGTAAGTAAATTCCCCATATATACAGGTTGTTCTTTAATGATATGCGAATATTTAAGGATGTAAATCTACATGTAAAATTTTAAAATTGAACGGGAATTTAAAAATTATTTTTATTTGGAAAAAAATAATTGGCATACCTTTATTGAGGCTATTAATAATTAATATTAAATATCACTAAAATATCTCAAGCGGTTACAAACATATTAATTATTTTTCCTTTTTTTTTTTCCCAACATTTTAGCACCCTGTCTTTTTGTAACGGAACATTTTGGAATCATAGTTTATGAAGCAAACTATCATTAACTTTTAAAGTAGATTCACACCCTTAAATATTCACATATCATTAGGAAAATTGCTATTACTGTATTCAATCAATTTATAAAAAATGTTATAGGGTTGTTAAGCAATAATTTTTTTCTGAATTTCCATGCTTCTATCAAACAAACAGTATTGGATACTGCTTCTATGATGCTTGAAAATACAGTGAATATCACTAGAATTAGAAGATTAAATTTATAATGTTTGCAAGTGAATCTGCAACAGCATCACTTTCATAAAAAGGTATTTCAATGCCTTGTATATTAAACCTTAATAATTTTCATAATAAATACAAAAATACAAAACATACAGAACAAACACTAACCACAGAAAAACTTATCTTCACAATTCCTTACGCTTGCTCAAAAATTCTCCTACAAATTATTAAGACCATTCCCAGACCCCAAATGTGAAAACAAATATTTGTAGATTTGAAAAACCTGTCATTGGCGGGAGTCAAACCCACAACATCACGTTTGCCGGACGTGTGCCCTTACCGTGAGGCTGTCAAGACAATGACTGTCGAGTTTTCTAACAAACATTTTAGATGGTAGTTCTAGCCAGAAGGAAGGAAAAGGAAGATTAAATAATAAAGGAATAACTCCAATAATTATTTTTCATTTTTGTCAGTTAGTTTTAACTACTTACCAATAGATGGTCTAATAACACATGTGGGGAATCTATTAAGACACTGGTCGCTGAGGCAATCTTCTGCTAGACCTTTAGTAAACACGTAAGTATTTGGCATAGGTTCGATTACCTTCATAGTCACATTATCAATGATTTTCTTTACATCCTCCTCGGTACTTTCGGCCAATTTGATGGCATCCCGCCAATCATACGAAGATTTGTAAAATCGTTCGTCGATCGTTTTTCTATCGCAGTTTGAGTAAGCGGTAGACACGTATACAAATACATCGACTTTATTTAGCTGTTCGACTAGATATATGACTTCTCTGGTACTCCTGACATTGCTGATGATGGCTTTTTGGAGGAAATCATCGAAACGAACCGAAGCTGCTATGTGGAATACGATGCTGACGGTTTTGACGAGAAATGCTCTGTCTGAGTCGCTTATTCCTAAAATAAATTTTGCTTAAGTCACTCTCTTACTAACACGTGCTTATACCATATAAAAATAATTTTTCCTACGACCATTAAGGAATGTCACACATATGGCACTATTTAGTATAGTACTCTATATAACTAGCATGTGGATAAAGTTACTTTCAACACCTGTGTAAATATGAATCTACTTTCCGCATAACTAAGCTTTCAAATAAATTAGACATGTAATTTGAATTATGATTGATTGCCCACTTTAATAGTAAAATCGATTAGAGGATTCAATTAACATTAATTTTTCAAAATAGATTTTAGATATTTATTATTAAAAGAATTTTAAAATAACTATTTACAATCTACATTATTTCTGCTTTTTCCTGGTTCATGTACATATTTAATTAGATAAGTCAAATCACAAAGCCGTGATAGCGTAAATGGTTTCACATCTGACTTTTTCAACTTGGTATTCGTGACCATTTCTTGACGCTGTTTCAATTTCCAATTGATTAAATACCTTTTCATTATTTTTTTAATTTGAAAAAATATAAAAAATTGGAAAAATATGACTATTGTTGTTTGTTTATTTATTTATTTAAAAAAATTTGTTAACGGTTTTTCAACTCATTTGTTTAAAAAATAATCTAATAAAAAACATTAATGTATTCTAATATTTTTGTAACTGTTATTTTATCTTTTTCATCCTATGAAATTGTTTGTAAATGGAATCACAATATTTTCAATTTTGACAAAACATTATCTGTAAAACGCTTTAAAAATTATTGAATACGGCATTTAAAAAAACGAATCAAAAACCAGTCTTGATGGAACCTTTATAGCCACATTTTCTAGTTTTCTATTTTTTGATAAAATTATTTTGTGGTCGTAGGAAAAATATTGTACATCATTTGTGTGAAAATGATTTTTAAAATTGGCTAGTGCGACAATATTTCCCACTCGTGTAAAAAATGTAACTTTCCACACTTATAGTGTAATATTATATTTAACTTTTAACCAAACCAGTGTATTAAAATACCAGGTCTTCAACAATACCCGAAACCCACGTGATCTGATAACCATCAAAAACCCATCGAAAGGGCCTGATTTGACGTAAAAGGAACTAAACTGAACTGTCAGTCCTGTCATAAATGTCACTAGCGTTCATTTGGGGACTGACAATATTTATGTTATGTTTGTTTACATTTTATAAACACCTTTATTCCGTTTTTCATTTAATAGTAATAAAGCAATTAGTTATTTTTAGAGAAATTCTTTTTTGTTGGTAAGTACAAATTTATTTACTGTAACTCGTAAAAGTTAATGACTATATAATTTATTTTATTTCAGGTAATGTTACACAGAAACAAAATTATTTTATATTCGTAATTGTATTCGAAAATTTGAGGAACGTTTTCCAGTTGAATAAATGGAATGTGATTCCTTTTTGTCGTCATAAACAAATACTTGTTCAAAATTATAAAAAAAAGGAAAAAGCTCTAAAAGGCACACAGTAAGAACAAAAGCTGTTGAAGATGTGCAAATTAACATGGTGCAAATTCCCAATAAATTAGTAAAAAAACAGCACCTCAAACAGGTATGAACGGTGTTTCAAAGACTGACTCTGACGAGTGAAATTCAAAACTTTTTTTTAGGTTTGTCACTACGAACTAGCCATAAAGTATTGAAAACATTTCTGATATGCATCCCCTATAAAGTTTCAGTACTGCAACAATCATTTTACCTTAATTTTGTTAAACCTACCTATGGAATATTACAGATCGTTTAATTCAAAATCTTTTGTGTGATGTTTATGAACTGGAGCACCTATATTAAATGAAATACAAAATATAACTGAGGAGAAACTGCATAATGTGTTCAAAGAAGAACAATTAATGCTTGTATTAAAGCTGGTGGTAATGATTTTGAACAGATAGGTACTGTGAATTAGTATCGTTTGTGCACTACCGATTACTACTGAATATGCTTTTAAATAAAATAGTTGTTAATAATTTAAAGTGAGATATATAAGGAAAAACAAATGTGTTCTTGCTACATTAATAATATTAATAATTTTTTGTATATATATAAGTAACATAATATATCTTGTAAATGGTTTAAACCCTGTAACAAATAAATAATAGGACAAACTTCAAAAAATATTTATTAGTTCCCATTGCCCAGGTACAATTCGAGTAAGTTTTAAATTTGTTTACTTAAACTGCAATAATTGCCAAATACTGCCATTGTATTCTGCCAATCGTATTTAAAGTTTCAGCTGTAGCTAAATAGCTTAAAGTCAATCTAAATAATTTTTAATATTCATATTTTAATGCACTTTTTGTCCATAACGTTCTTGTAAAGGTTTTTTTTTTGTAATAGTAGCAATAACTAGTACGAACCATATTTCAGTTTATCATTCTTTTCGATAAATACAAATAGCTCAGTTTTTAAGGTCATAATTTTAAAAGTTAGATTATTGCATTTGACTAAATCTAATTAAATTATCAAATTCTAACATTAAAATACAATAATGTAAAGCACCTCCAATTATTAATATTATGAGTTTGTGTTGTAATTCTAACAGTTACCTAACTAAATTTTGTTCTCATAGTTGCAGACCATAAAAAAAAGATCTATTTTGTAATAAAATACCTACGGCACTGGCTCACATCTAGGGATTTTCACTTTTATTTTCACCAATCGCTGTCATGACGATTTGGTCACGTGGGTTTTCGGTATTGTTGAAGACCCAGTACAATTTTAAAAAAATACAATCTGAAACAGGTGAGGTTGGTTACCACGGTATAACATTGCAGAATCATAAAAAACATTTACAAAAACAAAATTGGGCTTGAACAAAAACATAACAGTAGTACCTACCTATTTCTTCATCTAAAATTAAAACACAAAAAAAACAAATTTTCTTTTCTAGTAAGTTAAAGTTAATGTGGAATTAATGTTTGTAAGTCTAGAAATTTGTAATACAATAAACTTCTCTCCGTAAGATACGGGTTGTGACTAGTTTACAATAAATATTATACAGTGAGCATTATAAGTCTTACCCCCCTAACTAACTCGTTACTGGAGTCTTGTTAGGAAAATCGCCGAGACACGTCGATTTCTGATTTCTACAATGTACATTTTTGTATGAATAGTTTATCCTTAATTTCAACCCTTTCGAAAAATTTAAATAGCATGGGGTGGTAAGTGATAGCTCATTTGAAAGGGGGTTTTGTTCTCTATTCAACCGTGCAAAAATTTTTAAAATTTGCTGCATTACGTGTTAATTTATTAATGTTTAAAAATAACAAAACATCACAAATAGGAACGCAACTTAACTAACAGTGACCTTATCTAATGCAAAAAGTCTAACTTCACGTCTAAACCAAAACCGATGTCATGCAGGGCCGAATTTTAATTCTAAGGATGAGTGCGCTACGTTAATTTCCGTTATTCTGAAACAATAATTAGTCGAGAATTAACCCATTAGTGCCCACCAGCGCCCTATAAAAAAAAATATTAAATCAGGTTTTTTTAACTAAAAATATCCTCCTCATACTTGTACTTACAATAAAAAATGTTTTTTTCTTTCATACTTTTTAAAAAATGTGTGTACCCAAATGAGTACAATGGGATAATAAGTTTTACCAAAAATACTTTACTTTTTATTTATTATTTTGTATGTCAATTATTATAATACTGTAAAGCAACAACTAAGAATGAAATATTTGAAACACTCTCGTTCAATGCACAGAGTCACATTACAGTTTTCATATATCTAGCCCTCATATGACATTGACGACATCTGAGCTGGTTCTCAATTTTTTTGGGGAAATGTCCAACCGGATCTTCCAATATACTTCTTGATAATGAACCAGAAGGCCTACTAGATACAGATCTTCTTTGTACAGCCTTATTATAGGAGCGTAGATAGTGATGAGTAATGCTTCTAACAAATTGCAAAAGATCCACTTTGTCATTGGGGTAAATCATTTTATGTAATCTCCAGGCATTTACAATAGTTACGTTTATCATGTGAGTAAAGAGAACCCACCACCATTTTTTACCGTGGACAGCAATTCTTTATTTATTGACCCCTTGATCTAACAGATCAACACCGCCCATACGGTGGTTATAGTTTTTAAAAAGTTGCGGTTGGGGTACTGAAATTTTCTCTTTTCTTTTCGAAGACCATCTATTGACTTGTGCTAAAGGTTCGACTGAATCATAGTTTGTTACCATCGTTACTGCACTATTATCATTCCATCTAACAAATAGAAGATGGTTTCTTTTATCGTATTGAAAATCAAAGAATCCACGATCTTTTTTTTTTTATTTTCTTGGCAGGTACAAGAGGACACTTTTTTGTACGATTATCCCGTACAGTACCAATAGCTCGTATTACATGCTTTCGAAGTGTATTTAAAAGATCATGGCTTGCAAAATAATTGTCGAAAAAATAGGACATGATTATTTGGGGTATCAATTACTTTTACAAAATCAAAAACCACTCGTGAACCTAGTGGAAGCGTGGTTTTAATTTTAGTTGGTCCTTGACTAGATGACGGTTTAGCTCCACAATATTTATCGAATGAATAGCAATATCCATCCGAGCTACACAACATCCAGTCCTTGTACCCTCTTCTCTTTTTCTTTTTCTTTTTCTTTTTCTTTTTCTTTTTCTTTTTCTTTTTCTTTTTCTTTTTCTTTTTCTTTTTCTTTTCTTTTTCTTTTTCTTTTTCTTTTTCTTTTTCTTTTTCTTTTTCTTTTTCTTTTTCTTTTTCTTTTTCTTTTTCTTTTTCTTTTTCTTTTTCTTTTTCTTTTTCTTTTTCTTTTTCTTTTTCTTTTTCTTTTTCTTTTTCTTTTTCTTTTTCTTTTTCTTTTTCTTTTTCTTTTTCTTTTTCTTTTTCTTTTTCTTTTTCTTTTTCTTTTTCTTTTTCTTTTTCTTTTTCTTTTTCTTTTTCTTTTTCTTTTTCTTTTTCTTTTTCTTTTTCTTTTTCTTTTTCTTTTTCTTTTTC